TACCCAGCACCACTACAGCTCTTGGGACACTACCCAGCACCACTACAGCTCTTGGGACACTCCTCAGCGGTACTACAGCTCTTGGGACACTACTCAGCACCACTACAGCTCTTGGGACATTACCCAGCACCACTACAGCTCTTGGGACACTACCCAGCACCACTACAGCTCTTGGGACACTCCTCAGCAGTACTACAGCTCTTGGGACACTACCCAGCAGTACTACAGCTCTTGGGACACTACCCAGCACCACTACAGCTCTTGGGACACTACCCAGCACCACTACAGCTCTTGGGACACTCCTCAGCAGTACTACAGCTCTTGGGACACTACTCAGCACCACTACAGCTCTTGGGACACTACCCAGCACCAGTACAGCTCTTGGGACACTACCCAGCAGTACTACAGCTCTTGGGACACTACCCAGCACCACTACAGCTCTTGGGACACTACCCAGCACCACTACAGCTCTTGGGACACTACCCAGCACCACTACAGCTCTTGGGACACTCCTCAGCAGTACTACAGTTCTTGGGACACTACTCAGCACCACTACAACTCTTGGGACACTCCTCAGCACCACTACAGCTCTTGGGACACTACCCAGCACCACTACAGCTCTTGGGACACTCCTCAGCGGTACTACAGCTCTTGGGACACTACCCAGCAGTACTACAGCTCTTGGGACACTCCTCACCACTACTACAACTAGAATCAATCAACCTGATATTACAACCTAACCATTTCCCTGTGATCGCTGTTACCAGCCTAACCAGACGCATATATCAAGCCAAAGCATCCCTTGATGGATTGTAATAAGTCTAAGCAATGTTGTGAGAATAAACACTGCCCCCTTGAAGAATTATCACCTCTGAGGCGTCAACTATAGCCAGTCGAGTCACTGAGCAGTAGCGTACACCTAAATTTCCTGAACATCACAGGGATGCATCAGCCGGCTGAGTTATATAAGGGCCACACTTCCTCTCTCCGCACGACATAAATCTCGCCTCGTGGTACAAGCTCCGTCCCGACCTTGACACACGCTGCTTAGCTTATGTAAACTCCCAAAGAATGTCAAAGGCACTGTAACTAACCTGTGCCAGGTGTGGTGGCCGACAGGTGGCACTGCCAGGTAACATTCTCACTGTTGGGGACAGGAAGCCTGTACTTGGCTTTGCACATTCTTCCCCTTAAATTAAATGCCAACCTTCCCCCAGGATGCTACCCACAATAGTTGCCTAACTCCCAAGTGCCTATTTATTTCTAGGTGATCAGATGCATTGGGTGAAAGGATAGGTGCTCAGCCATTTCTGCCTCTCCCTGGGATCGAACCCTGGCTGCTCGATTGAGAGTCCAGAACATAGACCACTGTGCTATATGTCTTGGGAGAGAGTTGGATGGGGTATGTCTAGGTGCAACTCAACTTTCCGAGTTGTTATACAGGTACAGCAGATACATACAGTATATAGAAAATATAGTTCCAGTCTACAAAAATGTAGCAGAGAAGAGCCTCTAAATTATAACCTGTATCATTGATAAGCGTGGTGGTCAAAACACTAGGAAAATATTTAAAACCAATAGGTAGAATACCTGGAGAGAAATTATGCAATAACAGACAAACAGTATGGCTTTTGAACAAAGATTCTGCGTAACAAATCTACCATACGTAGTTTTTATGATATAGCAACAGAGATTTTATAGGAAAGAGTTGGTTGGGTTGACTGCTTTTATCTGCACCTAAAAAAAAAAAATACTTTTGACAGAATCCAACATAAAGAGATCTAGGGGTTATCTTGAGATGATTTCGGGGCTTTTTAGTGTCCCCGCGGCCCGGTCCACGACCAGGCCTCCACCCCCAGGAAGCAGCCCGTGACAGCTGACTAACACCCAGGTACTTATTTTACTGCTAGGTAACAGGGGCATAGGGTGAAAGAAACTCTGCCCATTGTTTCTCGCCGGCGCCTGGGATCGAACCCAGGACCACAGGATCACAAGTCCAGCGTGCTGTCCGCTCGGCCGACCGGCTCCTTGATTGTTATGGATAGTAGAGTATCAGCAGAGGCCGACATAAAGGACACTGTGTGTGTGTGTGTGAGAGAGGAGCATATACACAACTGCACTTTCCAACTTCAGAACTGCTTTTAAATGCATGGATGGTGAAATATTAAAGAAACTGTCTGACTTTTCTGATGGCAAACTTGGAAAATTCAGCAGTTTTATGGTGCCCATAAGTCCAGAAACCTATCAGTAAACTGGAAAAGATCTAAAGATATGCTACTGAATGGCTTCCAGAACTGAAGAACAAGAATTATGAGGAGAGGTTAGAGGTGTTAAATATGTCAAAGCTACAAGAAAAAGATGCAATGTGATCACTACCTACAAAACATTAACAGGAATCAATAAAATTTATAAAGAAAAATTCTTGAAAACTGCAACTTTAAGAACAAGAGGTCGTAGATTCAAGCTAAGAAAACAAAGTTAACAAAAAAATTCTCTTTTGTAAACAGTGATAGACTGTAGAACAAGTTAAGCGAGAAGACGGTAGAGGCCAAAACCGTCAGCAGTTTCAAAGCGCCAGATGACAGAGTACTGTACTAGGAACAAGGGACACCACAAGCATAGCTCTCATCCTGTAACTACACTAAGTTAATTACACTTAGGTAATTACACACAATTATATTTAATCTGCCTTTAGATATAGCCAGTGCCAAATTTTTTATATTTTGGTCTTTCATGCATCAATGTTTGGTAAATTGCAAAATTAATGCAATTTATCTTTGACTTCATGGCTCATTGCTAACCTTGACACTGACAGCAACCTGCTGCCACCTCACCTTTATAAAGCCAGATTTAAAAGTCTCTGAAATATTGGAATGTGCACCTATGTTGCCAATGGCCACCTAAATACACTATCCCAACAGAGGCCATATAAAAATAAAAGATCAAAACAAAATGCAGATTTATGAATCTGCCATTTTGGACAGAATAAAAATGACATTAGCTTCCTTTAATTTTTTGTTTATTTATATTCCCTGCAAACTGACTCCACACCTGATGAGTGTGAGGCTTGAGGATAAAGCATGTCATCTTCCAGAACTGATGGGTGTCTAGAACATGTTCCACCACGCTGTTCTCTTACTTCCTTTGTCTCACCACACAGGCTTTAACTCTCGTGAATTAACACAAAAAGAAAGCATGTATATAATGTGATATAGGATATAGATTTATCATCAAACTTTTATCGACCCTTTCACCATTTACATCTTATAATTCTGTACGTTATTGTGTCTAAAATACACTACTGTGCTAGGTACACAGCATTTGCATTACAGTACAAACATTTATTATTTGCCTTTCAGTGTAATGGCATTGTCATTTGCCTCTGGGTCACACTTCATTACTTGTTATATAATTCTTAGAGACCATTCTTACTTTATCATTCACTTCACCAATTGTAACACAATAACTTCCTGGTAGGTACTTCCTATCTTCCTGGTACCATAACATTCTCACTCTAAACTACATAAGAAAATACCCTTTTCATGTTCACTCCTATCAGTGCATAAGCAATCACAACAGCCATTTTCACCTGAACAAACTTAAAAGTTTCATGCACAAAAATCTTGAAAAGCACCATAAAACACCATTAATTGCTCTATACAATTCTTCATTCATTAGCAGGCACATTCCTTAATCACTCCTCGTTTCCTCACCACACAACTTCCCATGCCACTAAGTGAACACCACTACACTCTTCACTCCACCTTTCCTTCAGTTTTGTCTCAACCTTTGCACATCAAAAGTTCTCAGTCTAAAAACTTTCACCACTTCTTCCTCTACCTCTTCTCATGTTTTTTTTTATATCACAGGTCAGTGTAAACAAAACAATTGCCCATTCAAAGTGGACAACCTCGGGATAAGGAAACAAAAGGAGAGGAAATTAGCTGCAGATTAAACGTGTTAAGGAATTTGTGGGGTAATAGATCATTACAGAAAACATTTGTGGCATAGGAAAAATCTAGCATTTAATATAGAATGAAATAAGAAAACATGATATCTTTATGTGAAAATCTATGCAGCAGGATGGGGAGTGAACCAGCATCATGCTTCAAAGATATTCTCCAGCATTTAATGTAATTAAACACCACATTTTGGTGGGTCCCCTTGGTGTCTCCCTGAGCGAACTAGATGGCTAGCTTCAGAAGCCACTGTGGAGACCCACCAGAAAGAGGCACTTCATTATATGCAACACTGGATTTCTGAGAGGGTTGTGTTGGGTTGCTTCTGAAGATTGCCACCTGGTTAGCTTAGGACGCCACTAAGGAAAGCCCTCCCAGAAAGGAGACACCAAATCATTCATTCAATTCAAATATTGGTACAAGATGCACACACTATAAGTTGTTGTGTGAGTATTGTGTGACCTTACTTGAAGAAAAGGAACATGTTTTTCAGGAGAGCTTAAGCAATGGATAAAGTGACAGGAGAAAGAATGACAAGAACTTGCATTGGGAGAGAATAATGACTCGAGCTTAGATGCGACATTAAGTGAACTGACCAGATGAGCAACTTTCCTTTGAATTACATCCCAAACTTTGCTAGAGTGGGAACTACTCCAGATATCAGTGCAATACATATTATAGACAAGAGTAAGACCTTAGCAGAGCCAATTGTTAACATACACAATTTTCAGGATACACTGCATGTGTGTGATGCCTAGGATATTGATCTAACACTCTACACAACCATATTGCCCTACCAATGCTTTCCAGTACCCACACATGTGAAAAACCCTAGATCCAAGGTTTCAATTATTTTTATTAAAAAAAAGTTGAGTAAACTGGGCCCCATGGATCACGGTAAAAGGGGTGTTCTCAACCAATAATATTAGTGTAGCCTGTTGTTACTATTAGGAAATTGCAATATTAAAGTTTAGGTCAATGGCCAAGCACTGGTATCTGGAGATTAACTGAAGTAAATTTCTATTAACTGACTGTACTTACCTCTCTGTGTGAAGGTCAGATGAAGTTAAGGATGAATCCTCCGACCCAATACTGTTGAGCGATGCACAGTTGACTTCGCGTTGCTCTTTGGCTTTCTTTTCTTCCCACTGGGCCTTAACCTCATCGGCAACCCTTCGCTTCAGCTCTTCAACACGGCGTCTCTCATTTTCAATTACCAAGGTTCCTGTGTAAAGATAAAATTAAACAAAATTACCTTGTAAAGATATTTAATGAGGGATGGAAAGTTTTAACAGCAATTATTATGTATATTCTACACTAGTTGAAACATTTGTATTAATTCTACAAGAAATTTCTCTTTAAAGGAAGAGAAGTTTTGTGAAGAAACAAACTATTACAAATATAAATGTATAATAATGAACACAAAATTTATTGAGATCTGGTTCTCTTCCAGGTGATTTTACGTTGATTTTTTTGTGCGAGGTAATACTCCAGTTAATCAATTAGTTTAAAACTATCAAGTGAATCTATGGAGCCGAGGACAGCAGTTTGAATAAGAGTACGGTGTGTGTACATGACCAACAAGTTTTTGCTGGCCTACTAGATGACTGAAGAGAATATACATACAGCACTTCAAGGTAGATAATCCCATTATTAGCCCAGATCAAGGACCAATTTTACACAAGTTTACTTAGAAATGTGAGTTGTCTGTATTAATAATGTACATTAAATGTGTCAAAATTGTCATTAAAAACTGCATTAAAAAGCATACACTTTGAATTTCATAAATTTAAAAATAAGAAAATCAACAGCACTTGTTACACAACCAATGAAAATTCAGATTTATTTATATACCTGTATCAATTAGGCTACACTAAAGTGCAGTAACATACTATAAACTTTCAAAATACTGTACTATACACATTAAATTAATTGTATATGGTATTATAATACTATACCTTAACACATACATATGAAATGAACTGAAAGTAACAACATTTGAGTTCATCCTGGATGGTTGTCAAGTCCTTAAGACTTGAGAACCATCCAGGATAAAGACAACCTTCTCACTTTCATTTCACATGTGTGGGTTGTGGGTTATTTAATTCAGCCACGTTATTGTGGCTTATTCTTATCAATATATATCTTAAGCTTATAGAAAGCCCATGCACTATTTAAATGCTGTATAAACAAAATGAGTTCTGGAATGCAACCTACTTATTCCTTAAGATCTTAAACATGATGCAGCAAGTATCAGTCAAATGTCTAGGCATGCATTCCTGCAGTAATGTACCCCAGGTATTTACTCTGAAGGTGGGGCCAATAGACTTGTTATTATTTCTATATTTTAAAAATTGCCAATTTATTATGGATTCAGAATTTCCTAAAATTAGGTATAAATATCTCTAAAAACAAAACAATGGCTGATGACATTTTACAAGTCACCTTGTGTTCACAGCTTGATAAGACAACCAAAATATAGTCACTTTCTTCTCACTTGTGTTGGTTGGTTTACTAATTTTCAGCCACATTATTGTGACTTATTCTCTCCTTAAGTTCACGTGTTCTATGCTTTATTCACATTATTTGCAAGTTTGGGTGTTGGGGTGGGGGAAGGGAAGGAGCATTTGTGAAGACAGTATCAATTCTTGGTTATACAGTATACCTATTCTCCAAGTAAGTAATTATCAAAAGAAGGCACCAAACCGGGAAGGCTATGTACCTATTCTCCAAGCTTGATATCTAAAACTGCTCTTTAAAAATACATACTGTAATTTAAAATCAGTAGCTTTACTTATACTTCGCTCTGGACTGTTCACTCCCAGGGTATGCTGCTACAATAATACTGTCTACATTAAACATGCTTATTATTATTATTGAATTCCACGGTTTTACTATCATGCTGCTAATTATTCTTGGCATAAGCCATCTATCAGTTGTAAACAAATATTAGAAAGTACAGTACTACCATAATTTGTTTAAAAAATATAAGAGATATTCTGAAACAAAAGTAAAAATAGGGAATACAAAAATACACAAGATAACCCAAACCTAAACAAGAAATGAAAGTCATGATGCTTTGTTCCGTTCTGAACCATTATCAAGCCGCGACGAAGGAGTAGGAGTGAGTCACGACATTTATTATGCTCCAGGATGGACTGATACATTACTTTAATTTCATATGTTTAGAAAGGCTTATTTTTTCAGCTACAATATTGTGACTTATTATCTTCATACAAAAAATACTTCTAGAATTCATGTAAGTTGGATATATTATAGATAGAGAAAATTAATAAATCAACAAACTAGTCACTAAAGTCTAAACAGTTTTCTCCTTGCATCATGATTACCTTGGTCAGGGGACTGATCAACGTCTTGACTACCATTATATGTCATCATGTTGGACACTCTGGTTTTAAGCTGTTTCAGGTTTATGGTAGCTGAAGTACGAGGAAAAGGTGTCGGGCGGAAGCTGTTAGCAGTCTTAAGGTTAGACTGAATAGAAACTTTATTTGCATTTTCAATGGAAAAATGATTAGATTGTAGGGAGTCATAGACTTCACCAGAAGTCTTGAAAAAAGAAGAATGCATGTGGCCATTGGTATCATGCCCCTTCGTGCACATCAGTGGTGAGGAGAGTTCATTAGTGGAAAATGTAGGGTAAATCAGCCTTCCAAACATATTATATAAGTTAGGACTCAATGAAGTATTAAGGATCTTTTCACCCTGAGATACATGGACACTGTTCACTGGAGATGTTATGTAGTAGTTTGAGAATATTTCTGCATCTTTTGTACCATTTGCTGACCAAAGGTCATTATAATTTACTTGTTTTGGGTTAGTGTTTGTAACTGAATTTGTTGTAAGAATTTGTTGCAGTTTGATGTTATACGACAATCTGCACGAGGAAGCTTTTCTTTCCTCACCTTGCTTGGCCAGAAGTAGATTACGATTCCGCTCTATTTCCATGAGGGTGGCAGAAGTTTTTCGTCCTAATGACCCCTCTGGACATCCAAGTGGTGTTGAGGATGTGACCTGTACAAGAACAACATATATATTATCTAATGCAGCCAGTAAAAATAAAAAACATAAAACCAGGATGTATTAGAAACATCGATACAAGCCAAAAACATATACTGTATATACACAGGCTTCCTGTCCTAAGCAAAATGAATTATATTTTTAATTAAAACAGTACCTGATGAATGCGGTCCAGGTCCTCTTGGGATCGGTCCAGGAAGTGCAACTGAGATAAACGCTCGACCAACTCGGGAGCACCACTCTGCATGATGTAAGGGTTTAATGTATGTATAAACACGTCTACTGGAGGAATAAATATAAAATTCGGGAAGCTAAATAATGTACAACATATATAAACAATTCAAGAAAATATAAAATCAGTGTTGTATGTAACGAAACGCCATTTTCTGGGCCAGCCCTGGAGGCTCCCTTGGGCTATCGGGCTAATGTGTGATATATTAGATTGGGGCATTAGTCTATGGAGTTCGACCTACCAGGGACCACAAGCCAGAACCTGGCCCCTTTAGAGGGGTTGCAGGAAGCAATGGCCCTGGAAAACATCCCTGTGGTTGGGGTTTTCCTTATCTGCCATCGACCAGGATTAGGCACCCAGAAAGGTAGGCATAACAAAACAAACCCCACATGGTAAGAAAATTAAAACTAAAAGCAGAAGCAAGAGATAGAACTCCCTCTAATCCCTCTGACAGAATAATGCCAAGATAATACTTATAATAGACCGTCATGGTTAACAAGAGGGATCATAAAGGAGGCTGTACCAGATCTCGGGACCCTTATTCTAGACTACAAAAGGCATAGTGTTTGGAAAAGTTTTGGAGAATACACGAAAGAGCCTTCTGGTGGTCATTTTGAGTTACATAGAGTAATCTCCCGTGTCTCTTTGTGATCTGGCTTGAATGTATGCAAATATCTGTGGTGCACTGGGATGAACTATCGACCTGTCTGCTTCTACTTTGTCCTCTCTAGTGGAGAGCAGAACATTGCCTAAGAGAGCAACAAAGTGGCATGCTAAGAATGCAGTTATTTCTATCTACAAAGGCTCATTTTTTATTTAGATATTCTACTATTCATATTTGTAACAAAACAGGCAACAGTAATAACAGTCTAGGTTTGTGACTGAATACCGAGAAGAGTTATTAAAAAAAAATACAACAAAAACACTAAAGAAAAATCACAATATTCAACCATATGAGTGTTTTTGGGGCATCCAAAAGTTTTCTCAAATGATTTGCTATAATAATAAAATATGTTCATACTGTATTAAACTATTTTGAGATGCACAATATTTCAAATTAATTTGTAAATATGACAAGCCCCACACGATGAGCAAGCAGGTTTAGAGGTATACCTCCTCAGTATCAGACGAACAAGCAGGTGAGCACTGGCCATTGGAGGGAATGAGGCCTAAGCGAGTCAGTTCCCCTAGACGCCGTTCTGCAACAGTCAGACGTCCTCGCTCCTGCAACCCAACACTGGCTTTACAAAACAACAGCATACGACACAAACCACATTCAAGACAGATTCAATATTAATTATCAATGACAAACTCTTTCACACCAGAGAAACATTAGAAAAGAATGAAATTAAGATTTACAGCACACACAGGTAGAGTGGTTAATAAAAGTTAAGCAATTTCAAACTCTTCAAAGAATCAACACAAAAAAAAAAATTGTCTTCATTCTCTGGGGAAGAGGTCATGTTATGCACAATGAAATCACAATGTGATATATCTACAATGAAATTTTTTGGAGCAATACAATGAAATTTAACTTGTGTGCTGGGTAACCCCTGATGCACACACTACCCACCAGACCACAGTGAGCTTAAAAGAAACAACCAGAAATTCTACTGAATTTTTAAGGAGCTGGTACCCAAATCCAATTTTGACATGCCACCCACCCACTCCCTGGTATACATGCCACCCACCCACTCCCTGGTATACATGCCACCCACCCACTCCCTGGTATACATGCCACCCACCCACTCCCTGGTATACATGCCACCCACCCACTCCCTGGTATACATGCCACCCACCCACTCCCTGGTATACATGCCACCCACCCACTCCCTGGTATACGTAATAACATTCTCCACCAAACACTCCAGTTAGTAAGCTCAGTAGTACTTCAGATTGTTTTCCTTTTAAGCTAGTCAAGGACTAGCGAGTAATGTGTGCATTACTCCACCTTATGTTACTGCTTCTCTATTATGAGCACAATGGTACTTTTCATTACTATGAAAATAAACATTTCTCTTCCCCTTTATAATGCATATCAAGAAAATACATTCAAAGTCAAAATGATATCAACAAGGACAAACACAATGCTGTACCTACCCTTAACACAAATAACAATAATACAGTAATTACAATACCATAATCATTCACAGACATTGGCATAGTAATATAACATACCTTTTCAATTAACTGAATTATATATGCTTAGTATTAAGGATGTGAGGGTACCAAATGGAGAAACAGTTGATGTAGAAGATGCACGGAAGATGCAGAAGATGCTTTTTAAATTTCACAACATAAGAACATAAGTACATAAGAATAATTGAAACTGCAGAAGGCTTATTGGCCCTTATGAGGCAGCTCCTATTGGTCCATATGATGCAGATCCTATTGGTCCATACCAAGCAGCTACTATTGGCCCTTATGAGGCTGCTGCTATTGGTCCATACAAGGAAGCTTCTATTGGTCCATATGATGCAGATCCTATTGGTCCATACCAAGCAGCTACTATTGGCCCTTATGAAGCAGCTTCTATTTATATCCTCAAAACTCAATCATATATGTCTGACCTACACTTGAATTAATCCAGTTAAGAGTTAGATAAGACCTGGGAAAATATTGATTTGTAAACAAGTTTGGTGAATTATGGAACATACTAACGGGTTACATAACGGATGTCAGATCAATGCATTGTTTCAAGTGCAGGTTAGACATGTACATGAATGAGTTTGGGTGGACATAAATATGTGCTGCCTCTTATGGGCCAATAGGCCTTCTGTAGTGTTCTTAATTCTTATCTTCTTCTGAATTAAGGTATTGATTTCACTAGAAAATCAGCAAAGTGTGTCCCGTGACTGATGGATCTGCACTCGACAGCATGGAGTAACCCGCTACGTATCTTTGACTTTATGGAGCTTAATGGACTACACTACACAAAATCAAATATTAATATGGATGGTTATAGTCTTGGAAAAGGAGCATTATATAAAAATGTGCTATATAAACTAACATGGGAAAAATAGTTACATTCTGACAGGAAAACGTTGCATATTATAGCTATACTGTATCTGTATTTAAAATTATGTGCATACATTTGAGTGGGTGGGGTTTGTGACAGTATATGTGAGAGTGGATGGGGTTTGTGACAGTATATGTGAGAGTGGATGGGGTTTGTGACAGTATATGTGAGAGTGGATGGGGTTTGTGTGAGAGTGGAAGGATGTATGTTAGAGTGAATGCATGTTATATAAAAATAATGCATGCAATATCAGTTATTGGTCACTAATTGAAAATTGTGTTATGTCAAAACTGTGCTATATAAACACCTGCTATATAAGGATTCACTGTATCTAATTAAACCAGATAAATATTATACAATGCTGTATGTAAAGAAAATACAACAAAACATATTTAAAGCATTGTTAAACAGATCTAAACTACCTGCATGAGATTTTTCCACAACGATGTTCTTATTAGGTTAACTTCATATTGCTAAGCCAAATTAATTATGCAGTGAAGTTTAAGTGAATGTGATGTAATGCAAACTATTTACATATACTGTATTGGTAATTAAACATTTTCTCAGCTCATTTTTTAGAGCAAGGTTTGCCAAAATTAATGACCACACAAAGGCGATCGGAGGTAAAACTATTTACACTAAACGATGATCACCTTAGGATAACCATTCACTTCACATTCTAAATCTAAACAAAATTACAACTAAAAAAAACATTTTTTTAATATATATATTCCACCTTTGCAAGCCTGGAAAGGTAATCTTGCCTCTCTTTCTCAAGAACTTCCGTTTCTTCTCTGACTGAGTTCGTCATCTCCGACATGTGCTTCTCTAATTCAGTAATTCTCTCTCGTCGACTAGTAATCCTGTCTCTTAGATCAGCAATCTGTAGGTGAATATAATACTTTTTTTTCCAACAAATTTTCAGAATATAAAGCTTAAATTAAAAGAACATTGAAAGTATGAGACATGACATCAAACTGTATTCCCATTAACAGTATAGTAAACTTCTTTTATCATGCCAGATTTAAATGGTAGGCCCATTAGTTACTAATTATTAATTTCTCTACTCACCTCCTTATTGAGTTCCTCTCGCTCTGACTCACGGTGGGCCTCGGCCTCCATCTGGTGAAATTCGGTGTCCTCAAACACCTGAAGTAAAAGCCTAACATTACATCACGTTCTGAACACTGTGTTAAGGGAGTACTCCACTTACCAACTTACACATTATACAAATACCATTGACTTTTTGACACTTCTTTCCCAAATGTCTATTTTGAGAAGAAGTTGGGAGGTTCGTCAGTGACTATGTAGGGGAAGGTCAGTGATGGGGGGATGGGTGGAGGGGGGTGCAGGAATGAAAGAGTGAAGAGTGTAGATGATGAAAACAAATAACATTATCTAAAGGGTGAATAAACAGAAACAACTGCATGAAAGCTGGAAAAGTGTGATGACTAAGCCACATATCAGAAAATTTGCTTCTAACGTCCTCTCATTACTTGACGATGGTCCAGCACAGCCTGGAACATCGCTGTTTCTCCATTTTCTCCTGCGTGGTTTGGACATCATATCTTTCAGCCATGTTAGTGTGACTCATTGTACGTGACTGGTAAAGTACCTGTATATTCATTATTAAGTCTGAATGTTAATAAAAGGCAATGCAGTTGTGTCCAAAACAGCCTCACAGACCAGGCAATCACCTGGGAAAGGCTTTCTATGGACAAAAACTCTGATCATCATCAACAGATAACTGAGGAGCATGAGAAGGGATCAGTAGATGAGAAGTAGAAGAGAGAGAGAGAACGATTCATGGTAAGTACGTAGCATTACCATTTAATAATGATGAAATAAAGAATGGTGAACTGTCACGAAGAGTTGTGAAAGGAGAGGAGTCGGACAGAAATTGTGGGTTCGAATGTACGTCAGTGTGTTGTGGAAGAGGTAATCATTCTATCCTATAAATGAAGAAAAAATAAAGCAGTTGATAAAAATGAAGGAAAGAAATGCTGGTACTGTATATAATAAGACAAGATGTGAATGGTATGATCTAAAAATTGCATACAAATGATAGAGACCGCAGTAGAGAAAATAATAGATCGAGACAGAACAGAGTGATGAGTATATGATCAAATGTGAACAAGTCGGGAATATCCAAAGTATTTTGCACAGATGATAAAATAATTAATACTGCTACCAGAGGTAATGAATACTATGCTACAGTATTAACAAAATAAATACTAATAACTTCACAACATCGGATGGGCTATTGTTCAGTTGAAGCTTATAAACTAGAATATTAAAACATACCGTAACTATCTTGAGATCACACAAAAATAATCAAACACTAAGCCCAATAAGATGCAACCAAAAAGCATTAGCGCAATACTTTAAGTTTTTAAGAAATGTGACTACTCCTATAACACCTTCATAAGGTATACATGAAAGTATTATCTTCAACACATCACACTGCTGGCAAAAAACAGATTTTCGAGGTTAGTTGCCCTTGTAGTCATAGTCTGTAATGGTCCACCCAGGACACCATTTCACACCAGACTATGTAACTTAACACTCCAGAATCACATGAGACTTTTCAGATCACCTTGCCACAATAATAATGATCTATTGATTCGTTATAATAAAAAGTCCTCAACATCACCTCCAAGTGATTATTGGAAACCCCAGGAACACCAATTATTGCACTGCTAACGCCCATAAATATAATAAATGAAGCATTGAAAATAATGAAATGATTCTTCCTGGTGTGTCCCCTCAATGGCTCCCTGAGTTAGCCATTTGGTTAGCTGAGGAAGGCACAGAGGAAGAGCCCTCTCAGAAAAATAACCCGACCTCTAGCAGGTATCAGCACCTGCTAGAGGTGCACCCCCTAACAACAGGGTTAGGAGGAGGGTGGTGGACTGTGAACCGTGTTGGAATACCTAGGGTACATTCAATTCAGTTGCAAGTGCTAGTGAAACCAGATTTTAGGCAAGTACTGTGCATTGCTATTCTTTGGAACTTTGTCTCTGCATATGGGGTCTCATGCAAATAGTGTTTGTTGCAATGTGGAAGCTCCCAGTCCCTATCCTTTTGTCCCTGAATCATGATGGAATTGCTGGCTCCTCGACCTAGTGGGGATTGATGCTGACATCTGATGGCAGTTGGGGTAGCTTTGTTTACAGTAGCTTTCAGTGATAATTATTATTCCATGAGTTTCCTACTATCATTTAGAGGTGGGTATCAAGGGTGTAGTGTGTGTCTCTTGCATTATAATGTGTAAGCCTATTGGTGGTGGACTGAAATAGACTTAATTGTCTACTTCCAACAATTGTTCAGCAAGAGTCATGAAAAGTCTTATGTTACGCTTAGTCATTAAGGTCACATAGATCATAGTGGCAAAAGGTGTTTAGGATGAGCCATATGGGCTTTAGCTTAAAAAAAAAACAATTGAGGTTACAGGATAAGCAAAGAGCATTTTATACACAACCCAATATATAAACACTGCAGCAAATATTATAGAGATAAATTGTGTTTAACAGTTTTAACTGTTTTAGCATATACAGCAACATCAAATACTAACCATTAACTCTGCATTGCATTAGCCCCAAAATTAACTATAATAAAGACATTACAGGTGATCCCCTGCTAACAACAGCTGACAGATGTGAATGCATTATACACAAACAAAATGTGCAAAGGTAAACTGTCTGGTTAACAGGAATAAAACTAGTTTTAGTTTTACTTATTCCTGCATCTTAACCATTAGTAACCACTTTATGGCAGTAGCACACAACACCAAACTTGTCACACACACACACACACACGATATTTTATAAGGCAAAGCTGTCAATGTGCTATGAACTATAACAGATATGTATGCATGGACCACAGGCAAACCTTCATGGAAATATAATATAAATTCCATAGCCTATTATTTTCAAGTTCAAGAAAATTCTGGGACAAATGTATCCAATTAGTACATTAAACTTGTGACTTTATGGAATACGAAAATCATGAGGTGTACTAGAACATGTATTGATATGACATGCTACATACACTCAAGCATTTCAGTCTCAATTCCACAGTTACTGGGTATATACTGTATACATATATATATATACATAAGCAAGATGGACTATGAACTGCGTTGCCTCTTTAAGAAACGTTTGGGCAGGGGGGCCACAAAGGTTGTATCCACACAATAACAAAACACCTGCCATGCTCTACACAGGCTTTGGTAAAGGGTATTACTATATATATATATATAAACTGTGCTGCCACTTATGAAACATATGGCCAATGGGTGTGAAGGTTGTGTCCACACAATAACACACAACACCCACCATGCTCTACACACATTAAAACTTACTTTCTTAGCCTTCTTCCACCGAATATAGTAAAAGAAAAACTGTAAGCAAAGTTGGACAAAAGTGAGTTAGAATAATCACAAGTCTAGTATTAATGACAAAAAATGATTTATTCTATCAGTTTGTATATTTCAAATATAGTTAAAGAGATTTTAAAACAAAATTACGTAAATATTGTCATATATATACTGCATGTACTGGTAGTTACAGTATACCAAAGAGCAAGGTTGTCATAAAACTAAATGTGTTCATACACAACTCAAACGTCTCTGTGTTTCTGTGTAAAATACAAGTGTACACCAGCTAATGCACTTTTGGACACCTGATAATCTTTATACATGAGCATGTACATATGTATCTGCTGAAGTGTATACAATATATGTAAGTCTGTGTGCTAATGAAAATGTTCTTACCCAACTATGTCTATAATAACAACAAAATTCTTGACAGCTATTCTTATATTTGCCAGGTTTACAGATGATATGTTATTTACAGTATATGCATTTCCAATGACAGGCTTGGTGTGATGTTCATGCCTTGATTCTTAAATCATTTTAAAGTCCAGGAGGTGACTATTTAAAGTCATATAAAAGGACTATAAGCAAATAACAATCTTTTGACGCAAGTTACACAATCATTAATGTCTTTTGAATATTCTGTTCCTCTGAACAACCTTTCACCCAGCTTCAATACCATGCATATCTTAAGGGTTAAATTTAAGCAACCAACTACTGAACCAGTTCTGTACCTTGTATGAATCCTCCCCTGTAACATTCCACATTCATCCTCTGTCTATGTTTGTCAAACTTAACATTACCATACCTGCAAACATTGATATGGAGTCTGTTTCCTCAGCTGGATCATTTACACATTAAAGGGAGAGTATAGGTCTTAGGACTTAACCTGCTCAACTTTACTGATGACATCTCTTCAATGCAACTTCGAGTTCAGTTCTCTCATGGACACTCCACTCTAATTCCTCCAATTAGTGCCCACTATGGAGGTAAATTGTCAAAAGGTTTTCTGGCCATTAAGGAACACACAATCAACCTAATCTTTCATTTCTAGCTTTATCTTACTCATCCCATCCAATAATTGTAGTCTGGTTTAAGTTCGATACATTTCTTTTAACAAATGTTAGCTAATTAAAACTTTTCTTCCTTTTATGTGTTCCACTTATATACATATTATAAACTTCTCTAGGTAATGTTAGTAATATGCATAGTCATTATACAGTACTCGTTGTCAATTTTATACCCCCCCCCCCCTTTGGCTGGTTTACAACTATCTGGCAGCCCACACACACACATGACTGGGTTATCCATGTGTATAACACAAACATAAAATAATGAGGCCCCCTACACAGAGACAATATCTCAAAAAAACCAACAATGAATATAATGAAATGCCATTTTCTGGGTCAGCCCCGGAGGTTTCCTGAAGCGATGCAAACTGATATGTGCAATATCAGTTTGGTGTCATCAGTCACAGGAGTTCTTATACCAACCGGGAACCACGAACCAGAACCTGCTCCCCTCAGAGGGAGCAATGGCCTATGAACACTTTACATTTAAAGTATGTCATAATTGCCATCGACCAGGGAAGGACCCAGAAAGAATCGAAACAGACCACTGTTGACCACCTTTATCAATTACGTATTCTGGGAAAGGTCAGCAGTTGACTTAGTGGAGCCTGGATAAGTCTAAGCACAGGCTTTCTGACCCCGACAACTGGAATTATAAGTATAGCAGTGTAAGGGACAAGTATACACACACACTTAAAACACCATTTGCTTTGCCGCAATGCACTACTGCTGCCAGAGGGAGGATTCAGGAATAATATATCAAATATTGGACAATGCTCTATCACATGTCATGAACCTTTAGTTGTTACTAAAATAATGGAATCATTAAGTAATGTAACTTCTACCCTTCCACAGCTTTACCATCCATACACAATGATTAGGGGACTAAAACATATCAACCCAGTCTTTATGTAGACAAATCCAGCACAAAGATTACAAGCCATTTATCACATTTTATTTTTAAAAGACAAAGAAAGCTGCTGGTGACAAACACATGGCAGCATAGTCACACCTTAAATTAAACAAAGCTCATCTCGTTCTTCCCAGGAGAAAACCTCACCTTTCGCTCAGCTTCTACTGCCTCGTGCTGGGCTTTAAGGGTCTCCAGCATCTCGGTTTCTTCGTCCGTTGTTCCACTGAAGTTTTCACTCTTTCCCTCCAGCTGATCCAGTTCTCTCTCTGCCTCTTCAAGGCGCGATCGACATGCCTGAAGGCAAGCAACAGATAGGAGAGAATCGGATCAATGGCTTGAGTGTTGCATTATTATCTTCTAATTAGAGATTACTAGATCATGTTCAATACTTGAAAGAATGGAAGGAGACAGGTAAGGAAGTTGGTAGGGAAGAGAAGGAAGAAGGTTGGAGAGAGAAGAAGCGAGACTGGGGAGGGAAGGAATGAGTGAAAGGTAGGGAAGAATATAGTTTTACATTAAACAAGTACAGTATGCATCAATAAAACCACTTCATACTAAAGTAAAGATATGACCAATTTACAACTTGATAAGGGTCCTGGCCACGCCTAAATATTGCCTAAAGTTGTTTTCTCATCCCAGGGCGAGATGGACGCCTTGTTTGGTGTAGCTTTGGTATTCCCTCGTTTCAGATCAAGATGCTCTGAACCCAGGTTTGGAGATGGAGGGCGTTCAGTTTGAGGCTAGATCAATAAGGACTTTGTGGATTATCGTTGGCCTGACTTGAACATTGGTGACCAGGCTTGATGGAACCTTTCTCCGGATTGAGGGGAGGAGGCATTTTCCCCAAGTCCCTGTTTATGATAAATTATCCCTTGGAAAGAGGAAGACCTAACCTGTTCCATGCTAAACAGAACTTCCTGCTTTCCTGTTGTGTTACATTGCAGTTATACTGTATTCTAATTTTAAATGAAGACAAAATTGGAGAACAAAATGAAAATGGAAATTAAATGTTATACTCACCTCAATGGCTTCCTGGTGATGGTGTCTTTCCTGTTGGCAGCGGTCTTCAAGTTCATTGCTCCTCTGTAGAAGAGCTGCAAGTCTCTCCTCATCTGCTGCAACTTTCTCCCTGAGCGGCACCAGTTCACCCTCCAGCAGAGCCCTTTCAACTTCCAGCTGAGACGAAACATCATAGTAAACAACCAATGACATACATGAAAAAGTATGGTTGGGTGTAAATAGAAGCCACCTCGTATCGACCTTCTGTAGTTTCTCTATTCTAATGTTATGATAAGTTCTCAGAATTTCAAGCTTATGACAACAAAGCTTTATAAATACAACAAAACTTACTAAGGAGAAAACAACTTGTTAATTTACATCTCAAATTATGCTTCACTGATACAAATTTTAACATTAATCTTATATTTAGTTGTTAAATAGACTTGATGAATGTATCTAGTGATAAACTGCCTGTCTTCTGCTGTGCTTTGTTGAATCTACTCACATTGTCAAAGTTAATATAAACCTCTCAAACGTTTTCCTCATATTATTCTATTACAAGTAATTGGGTTTGTCAATAGCCAAACTGCACTAATACAAATTACAGTATTAAACAATTAAAATTATATGTGCATAAATTACCAATACACTCGAGGAGGGTGGTTGTTGAAACTGGAGGCCAGAGTCTCGATACACAAGGAAATAAATCACAATAGCGTGATATATCTATGAGAAAATCCCTGAAGCAGTGCGGGGTTGAACCAGCATTTTGGTGGATGCCAGCCAAATGCCAAACCCCATGACATGCTAAAAGATATTCAATCCAGGACACTACTATATCCTCTAAGGATTCTGGAGGCGCCACTTGTTGGCACAACCAGTCTCAACCTGAAGTACGAGGGGCCCAATATTTTCCCCTAATGTTAACAACAAATGCTCATCTAACCACCACTACAGTACTGTAATTAAAAAACACAGACATACAAAAACAAAGCAGGATCATGCAATATGCATGCTTAAGATTTTCTATGGGTATTATACATTACCCTAGGTAATTAGGTACCTCGCGGCCTTAACAGCTTCGTAGCTTCCAAGTCGAGGATACTAATACATGCTTATCATTGATAATGCTTCATGCTATGATTTGTGCAAACGTTCACAGGTGAGTGTTATGCATCACTAGAATAATGATTTCTACCTCAGGAGGAAGGTCCCCTACACTGTATTCATATACTGAATATGATAGCTGATGAAGTATATTACTGTACCTACTTTATGACTTTTATCACACGCATTTACCATATAATCTGGTGTATAAAATGCACCCCTATTTTACAAGAATATTTTGTGAGTATTAATTATTTTAGTATATATAATCATTCCAGCTAGATACCTTACACCATAAAATATTTTTTTTTGTTATTGTATGTTTGCTGATAATATGCAATTTATTAGCACAAAATTTATATTTAATCATGAAAATTTGTCAAATTGTCAGAATTAAATTAAAACATAATGACAGCAATGAACACTTATAAAAACACTTTCATTTGCTGAAACGTAGAAAAATATATTAGTTACAAATTAGATATAAACCTAAGTATTTTACCTCTCTTAACGCCTCATCCTCAGTGAATTCTAACTCTGTAACAGTGCGCTTGAGATCCGTCATGGACTGAAGAACTTCATTCTTGACTCCTTTCAAACGCTCTATCTCCCCAGGCACATCCTGTTGTTTGGGTAGTGACACGTGGAAATTTGTACCCCGGAAAACATGTGGCACTTTTCTGCATGGCTGATAACTGTTACTTTATACATATATATCAATTTTGACTTTTATGGAATCCATCAGGCATGTATGATTTAACTCTCGTGCAAAGCTATGTACGTACCAAGGCTGTCCAAAATACTACATGCATTAACCCTTTGTGGACACTTTTTTTCCAAAACCTGGCTACTCTTCCCCCCATGACTGAAGTGTTGAAATGTACAAAATAAAAAAAATGCAACATGACTGCCAATGACATAAGGTACAAGATAACATTTATAAGTAAAACATTTACAAAATTAATCAAACTTTAAATTTGGAGCTTTGCAAAAATGTATTCTGTAATTCAGTACTGAATGTTGAAGTAAATGGAAAAGTTAAAGAATAAATTGACAATTTTCATTAATATCAAAGAATAAATTGTTGTTGTGGGTGCTGTAGACTAATGTAGAGGTAAACAAAAAATATATACCAAACATTTGGGATTTAGGGGCAAAATTGTAGCACTGTTGTTACATGCTGTATTCATGGTTTGTGTTTTCTAACACAAAATTTAAATACTGTACCATATTCAGATTAGAATTGAAGTTAGATCCTAAAATTCTAATACACTGATCATTGTTGACATAATGCATGTTTCAACTTTAGTACTTTATCTCTTTTTTTTTACCTGTAATTAGTTCCAAGAGTTCTCCTATCTTAACACATCAATTTACCACAAAGGGTTAATAAGTTTTACTAATCACTTTAACTGGACAGTTATAAATATTTTACACTTATAATACTTAAAAAAATGTGCAAGTCAACTTTCTAATTACATTGAGCCTAATATATAATACATACAATCTAACTACAAATGCAAAATTCCTCATTTTAAATGCATCAAGGAAATAATAGGCACATATGATATAGCTAACACATCAACCAGATTGTTTCATCATTAACTTACATCGATATTAAAAGTATCCTGAATATTTTTTATGAGGTGTTCCTCAAACACCTTATTGGATCCTCTTCCCTCGTCGTCATCTGCAGACACTGTTCCTTCGATACCATGGTAATGTCTCGCTAACGTATCCTCGGGACTAGTAAACACACACGAGCCTGTTGAATTATCTGCCGAGTTCATTGTTAGCGAACTAGTTAGATTATTTTGCACTGAACTGTGACTATTTTCATACGTATTTGTTGCTTCATCAATGCTTGTCGACATCACTGTGTTACAAACATAATTGGCTTGGCAAGGCTTCGTTAGATCCTCCCCATTTGAACCGACGTGTGGAGTGGATACGGAGTTCTTTGCGTCACTACTCATTCTGTTGACAGTTGGAGAATCCCCTAAGACTGATCTTTCTATTCTAGGAGATCTTGGAGGCTTGGGAGGGGCTGGTATGTCAAGGGAACTTGAAGAATCAGATCTTAAAAATGGACTTAAATTTTCTTTATTTTTTGTACTATCTTTTGGTGTTCGTGGACTTCGAACTTTCTTTCCATCACTTATGCCTGCCTGGAAATCTGATATGGCCATTCTATTTTCTATGATTTCACAATTATCCCTTCTTTCTGTTCTTTCCTTGCCCACAATGGTCTTGATTCGAGTCCGTGGGCTTTGTGGCATAGGATAAGTGAGGTATGAGGGACTAACATTCTCATATGGGCTTTTTGGACTGTTTGGACTTGGGGAGTGTGATGGAGCTTGTAATGGGGCTGGATTTGGAAATGGAGGGTAATTTGGTAATGTCCCATTCCTGAAAAATAGGTATTTAAACATTAAACATTGCATTAAAATAAACATAATATATTAACACAAAAACTTATCTACTGAAATACAGTATACAAGTTACAGCCAAATTTTTAAATTTCTTTAAGTCTTTAATTGTTTTCAACTAATAACAAATAAAAACATGCTCATCAAACTCCATAAAGTGTATAGTATTGTAATGTTACCATGCGTGTCACCTGCATGCTTCGTTTACATTAATCCACCACCTTTACATGATATTATTACACACATTTGTTAAAAGTTCCTGCCATTATTCTGTAATTATTACTGTTAACACCACTGTACAGTACTTCATTTATGTTAAATTTTACTTCTTAATAAACCTAGCTGTGTGGACTTTCTTATGCTTAATAAAGTGACCAGTTACCTTATTTGAGTTTACACTGCAAATCTCCAAAATATATTGCTAAGTAAATATACTATATCATACTTTTTCTTCTCTCTCTCTCTCTCCCTGCATTATATACTCCTAAAATAAGTACTGTATTGAGAGAGAGTATGTTTATGTATTCCCTATGAATTCTATAGCACCAACACCATATTGCCTCCTGGGAACTCCAATATTAAATCCTTCTTCTATGAATTCTACAGTAATTACCATTTCTCAAGCATTTGTACTGTTTCTGTTGTGGCTCTCAGTATTAATGTCGTTATTAGACTTCTCAACTGTGGTTTTGAATCTCGGAGCTACTGGCTCCTGCAATTTGATCTATGCTAGAATTAATTTTATTCCACTCTGCATGCACTGACCACCTTATGTTAATTAGGCATGTCTCATTAATCAATTTGATTAGGTTTCTTCAAATTGGTTTGCTCTTGCAGCAAAGAATATACTTCAATAATACCTGGAATTAGTTCTGGGAGTTGTTCTCCCCTAGCCCAGCCTGGAGCCAGGCTTGACTTGATAACTTGGTCCAACAGGCTGTTGCTTGAAGTGGCCTGCAGGCCCACATATCCACTAAAATACGATTGGTTAGGTATTTCATGCAGGAAAGTGTCTAATTTTCTCTTGAATACTTCTACTGTACTTTTGTACCAGCAACATTTGTATTATATGCTGGGAGGATACTGAATAGCCATGAACTCTGGTACATATTGCTGGTCCGTTTAGACTGTTCATAACTTATCAGTACATTGAACCCAGCTAATTACAAACCTTGTGAGTGAAGCAGTATGCTGGACCGGACTCCCTAGGTCCGGTTGATCAAAACTGAATATGGCATCAAGTTCATCCTCTGAGGTGGATGATGCCTTGGGTGTAATGCCATTGGCAGGAGAGACGGGTGAGGTGGCAGAAGTGGGCGTGGTGGCTATGGTGGGTGTGGTGGGGGTGGCTGACAGTGCTGATGGGGAGGAGGGCACACGCTTGTCACGGGGAAGGGAACCATTTGTCTTTATTCTGAAAAACAAAACAAAATTTAATTCTGTACAGGTATTTAATTTGGTATACTGTATTTGAGTCATGTTCACAATATTGTACTAATATCACTACAGTAAAGCTGACTGCTTTAAGAAGCAAATGTGTTTCTATACAAAATAAATACAGTACAGTATTTTATCTAACCATTAAAGCTAAGACACAATATATCTTGACAGTTTTATCAATTAAAGAAACATTGAAAAAGAATAAATACGTACAAAATAATGTTAGGCTTACAATCACTGATTATTGTACCAGGCTGGCGATACTAGACATGATCGAGTTGTCCTTAAGAGAAATGCATCAAATGCCTAGACAAAACAAGTAGTCTGGCATAAGAATCAGTGTTGGGTTCAGTTCTCTTATTGGCTTACATACATGATATCGATAACAAGTTATACAGTACAGTATTTTACACATATTTGTTGATCACATTGTGCCAAGGAGCATAGTTACACATGAACAAGAATTCTACAAGTATTGGGAAAAGATATTGAGAATAACCCCCAGAGACAGATGTCAACTTCTGTCCCAATACTGAAAGAGAGATTAAAAGTCTAGTGACATGCAAATCATTTTCACAAAGGTATATCATGCTATTGTGATTTCCTAGTGTATGTGTAGACAGAGAACCTGTACTCAGACAGGAGGTACCTGGGAGTTAATAATTTCAAAGTCACTATGTAATTCGTGCTATTGTTTCCTCCCTATCCATGGTTAGGTTAGGTTTCATTATGTTAATTTCATGTTACGGGCTCAAGTGCTTGAGACTCAAAATTAAAGATATCATAATTCCAACTAACACAGATTCACTGCCGTACTGTGCAGCTTCACACCAATGATAATAACCAAGATCGTGTTTGGCAGCTACATGGGAGATGAGATTGCACTGAAAAGTAGAATCTCACAGTGAACTCGCCTATCACCCACTCTAACATACACACAGCTGACCTGTCCTCAGACTCCTCCCTCCCCAAACATGGAGCTACACTAATGATGGTGATGACATAGCACCAGCCATTCGCTAACCAGGACAACCAAAGATGATACTGGCCAATCAGTGTTGTTTCCGACCCAACCATTGAACATCGGCCAACAACAGCAAGCCACCAGGGTGTGGAACACTGTCCAAATGTTAGAACCCATGCTGGAATGATTACTTCAAGTAGAGCCGCCTCACTCTCACAATTGGTGGCCCAAGAACTTAGATCCACTCAAGATCAAGACCAGAGAATCCCAGTAATTATACAAAAGGGTTATTGGCTGGTTTCGTGTTGGTCCTAACCCTTAACTGGGTTAAGATTATCCAACGGCCACCATAAGAACATACTAACCAATCAGCATATACATACATATATAGTAAAGTAAATTTTATTCAGGAAAGTACAGACAATGTTGTTTTACAAACATAATGTTGGATTTATAGATAGAACTAGTACATACAATATCTAAAGCCACTAGTACACATAGCGTTTCATTGTTCACGACTAAAGTGTGCTAAAGGTTTCGTAATGTAAACACCTTGCCAGTAATTTGCCTCCAGAACCGTTGATCAAGTGACAATCAGTTGGGTTAAGCCCTGGCACTATCTCTCACAATAAAGCAACTACAGTACTCTCCACAGTCTATCCTTCTCCTCTCCCCCCTCGTTCTCCCGTTACCGCTGTTGTTGTTTTAGATTTAATTACTCGGAACTAAAATGTCCATGTAGCACGGGCTATGGCGAGCCCGTAATTGAGGTCGGTTATTCGCGATAATCTTGTTATTGCGATATTTGAGTCAAAGTTTTAAATGAAGGTAGAGTTTCCTTCTTTTCACACTGGGTTTAGTCTTTTGTTTTAATAACATTTTCTTGGTGGCGGATATAGATGCATAATGTTCACTAGCGAGTCCCATTCTTCAACTGCTTTTTTAACCATTATAATCGCTGTGGATTTAGCATTTAATGCAGCTGCTCTTGTTGGTTGAATGTTGAGTTTATCGATGCTTCAGTTGCGTCACATTCCAGAAAGTAATGCAATAGTGGCGCCTCTGCATCTGTTCCCACAGATACGACACTCTTTAACTACTGGGTTTATTACCTCCCAGCAGCACTTGTAGTCAAGTCTTAGTCTGTCTATGACTACTGCAATGTCTCTGGATATCTTTTTGTCAGGCTTGAAAAAGGAGTACCTAGTGGCTTGTTCGTATCACATCGCAGTGGATCTGCTTTCTGCTACTTTGGCTCTGTGGCGACTTTTGATAGTTGGGAGTATTTTCTTCTTGATTTGCTCCTTAAACTGTGAAAAACTTGGAGGTGTTTGCCCACACTGTCAACCAGGAGGCCAGGTGAAAGACAGGGCCTCTGGGACACTTATCCTTCGAACTACAATGAAAAGTTCTTTTCATAACCCCCGTTATCCATTGGGATAACGGGGGTTATAAAAAGAAGTTTATGAAGAAGCAATGGTTATCCATTGATAACAATGGTTATCCATTGTAGTTCCGAGGATCAGTGTCCCCGAGGCCCGGTGTCTCACCTGGCTTCCTGGTTGACAGTGTTGGCAAACAGGCTGTTGATGCCCTGAAGCAGTCACCTGTTGTTGAAGATTAAGCCACCACAAGAGGTAGCACGGGCATGAATAGCCCGTAAGAACAGTCACCGATTGATTGATGAAGATTAAGCCACGGTGGCATGGGCATGAATAGCCCGTAAGAGCAGTCACTGCAGCCCGGTTGATGAAATAGCCTTCGGAAGGTGGGGTAGTGGTAATGGCTGCTGGCGGGGATGAGTAAAGTACACGAGAATGAGGGGAGGGGTAGAGTAGGGGGATGAGTGGGAATGGTGGTGGAGAGTTGGGGAATGAGTGGGAATGGTGGTGGATGACGGCAGAGAAAGAGGAGGTGGAAGGGGAGGTGACTCTGGATGTCAGTGAAGGGAGGAGGGGAAAGGGGGGGGGATGTTCTGGATGTCGGTGGGGAGGGGGGGAAGGTAATTGCGAGTTAGTGAGCGTGATCTCCAATACGACCTTGGAATAATCACTCAACCACAGCAGCATTTCAACACCTACGCACATAACATGTCACCAGGAGAGTCAACAGGTTGTATGTGGCAGAGAGAATGACCGAACATGTTGCGTGTATGAACAGTGTGACAAGGGTGCACGGACTCTCATGACCAGGTTAGTCGAGTCTGAAATTGTGATCTGCATGTCTAATTTGCTCCCAGGATTTGTGGATTTGTTCATTTGATGCATCACGCTATTGTGATTTCTGTGTGTAGTGTTTTGCTAAGGTGATGTGCTGTATGCAAACTTAGCATCTTGAGTATGCAAATGAAAAGGTAAGTAAATATTGACAACAACATGTGAATAATTAACAGGCTAGGCTTATGGTCTAGTTGAAGTTCATTTCAGTTGAGGGAGGAGTGGAAAATGTTGCCGCTTCTTCCACCCGACATTTAAAGTGAGAGGCTCATGGCTAGCATTATATTCACATACCTACCATATAGCGTAGAAATGTTTTGTTGGAATTGTTGTTTATGCCTGTAGGGGATTGTTGATTAGCATTTAGTGAACTGTTATTATGGATAAGTTAGATAAGTTGGCATAAAAGGCAGTTATTTAGACGTAACAACAGCAGTAGGAGGGGGGGTTGGGGGGGGGGGGTAGACACAGGCATTTAAACCCCTGTTGGTGTTTAAATGCCTCAGAGGCAGAGTGGACTATATCAAGGAAGGTTATGTTGTCCTTTCATTTAATTATCTATCAGTTTTGTTTGCTGTTATTGAAGGTGACATTAATAACTACTTCTATGGACTTACCACAAGACAAACTGTGGGTGTATTTAGTTAAATACTGTAAAATATATTGAGTGTTGCCACCCTAAACATTGATTTTTTCTAGGCTTCTCATTTTTTGGTGACCAGAGGTGCTAGGTATTTTGGCTGGCACCGCTGTGAATAATCTGTAATTCTAAGTGAAATGTGTTAGTCTCCTTATAAATAAATTGTTCAGTTTTTGCCGGTAGCCTTATTAATCTCCTTTAATATGTTCGTAGACCTCGGGGGGGGGGGGGGGTTTCAGGTACTCACGTGTACAGATTGAGGGCCAGGTCTGAATGTGAGATTAAACATTGCCATAACTGTTTATAAGTCATAACAGTAACATGGGTGTACTCACCTAGGTGGGCTTGCGGGGGTTGAGCTCTGGCTCTTTGGGCCTGCCTCTCAACTGTCAATCTATTATTTTTTTTACACACACACACACACACACACACACACACACACACACACACACACACACACACACACACACACACACACACACACACACACACGGGGGGTCCTGGTAGATAGCGCGCAGGACTCGTAATTCTGTGGCGCGGGTTCGATTCCCGCACCAGGCAGAAACAAATGAGCAGGTTTTTTTTCACCCTGAATGCCCCATTCAGGGTGAAATTTACTGGATTTGGTGATTTACAGGGTGAATTTGGATTTACCTAGCAGTAAATAGGTACCTGGGAGTTAGTCAGCTGTCATGGGCTGCTTCCTGGGGTGTGTGGTGTGGATAAAAAAGTAGTTAGTAAACAGTTGATTGACAGTAGAGAGGCGGGCCGAGAGAGCAAAACTCAACCCCCGCAAACACAACTAGGTGAATACACACATACACACCCACACACACATTAGAAAGAATTTTTTCAGTGTCAGAGTAGTAAATGGAATGCACTAGGAAGTGATGTGGTGGAGACTGACTCCATACACAGTTTCAAGTGTAGATATGATAGAGCCCAGTAGGCTCAGGAATCTGTACACCAGTTGATTGACAGTTGAGAGACGGGACCAAAGAGACAAAGCTCAACCCCCGCAAGCACAACTAGGTGAGTACACACACACACACTTGAGGCGGGACCAAAGAGCCAGAGCTCAACCCCCGCAAGCACAATTAGGTGAGTACACACAAGAAGCAGCCCGTAGCAGCTATCTAACTCCCAGGTCCCTA